GCTCCTTTTCAGTAACACAAAAACTGTTTATTCATAGCTATTAAATGCAGCCGGAATAATGAAAGTTAGTGTTTATGGGCATGAAAGACTCTTTTAAAATATCTTGATACGGAGTGAAAATTATTATTATTTTAAAAAACGATATTTTAAATACGCATTCGTTTTAATAAACTGCTTAAATTACTGGAGACATTTTGAAAAGCGTCGAAGGTGTTGTAGAGTTCAGCGAGGAAACGAGGAAGTCTCACCTGAAAAATCACCAAAACCGTCCAAACGAACCAGGCGGTCCCCATTTGTGTGTACAGCCTCGTGTCAGTACACCCTCGAAGTTTAAGAACAAAAATAATAAACTTCACGAAGCGTATTCCGCTACAATCCCTCTCGTCGTTGGTCCTTTCCTGTCTCAGCGTCTGTATGCGGAGCGCGAGGCTGAGCGAGTTGCAGCAGGTACTTTCAGTTTATGACGTCAGCTCACAGGTGCGCCGCTTCCGGGTTCCTGATATGGTCATAGACGGAGCGCACCTGAATAAGCAGAAACTAGGAGCGTGTTTCTCATCATGAAAATCTCCAGTAAGCAGTGTCACTGAGCAGCAGAGCCAAATCTGGCCTGAAGTCTCATTTCCTTCTCTTTCCCAGAGATCTCGCTCTACACACGCACACGCACACACACGCACGTCAAGAATCTAAAGAGAAGTGTGACACTGCAACACATTCAACATTACAACAAATATCTAGATGAAATGTTTACATAGCAGGCCACTTCATCTGATCGTTCCATCTGTATATGTAAATCAAACATGAGTGTAAATGTGAAGTGAAACAGGATTTAACTGTGAAACCACTTTTAAAACACCAACGGGTCTCTAAAGAAGTTTCATCTTCCTCTTTTTCACACCAAATAATTTAAATGGTGAGACAAGATAGACCACTTACTGTCAAACACCAGAAAATTAGAATTTGTATAAAGTTCAAAAATACTTTATTAATCCCAGAGGGAAATTAAGTGTACTAAAGTGTAATAAAGTGGTCATTTTTATTGTAATATGTTATATGTTTTTGCTATCATACTATAAATATATTTCTATTTACCAGTATATATTCAGCGCCTGGGTACTGAGACTTATTGTGCTTTCAGTAGTCAGTCTTGCACCAAAAATATTTATTCATGCAGTATTGAGAAAATGTTGAATAATAATGACCAAACAGAAATAAAAGCAGGAATGTTGCCCACCACCTTGTTTCAAACAAATATCTTGTGTGGTCTGATGGTTGTTTGGATTACGTGTTGCCTCTCAGCTAATACTACACTACACCAAACTGTAGCTGGATTTCTGTAAAACTGAATGAGTCGTAGTTTTTTGTGTGATGTTGATCAGCTGTGGTGAACACATGAAATCAGGCTGGCTCCAAAAGTTGTAGAGAGTTGTAGAGGTACATCCAGCTTTCTCATTGTTTCGTTGATTTCAGTTTCATTAGTGGCAACATGAGAAGTAAGTTTTTAATCAGCTTACCTGTCTTGTTATTTTTTCACTTATTATGACTGTACATCAGGCAGCACAGTCGATAGAGCTGCTGCCTGTCAGTGAGAAGGTTGCCGGATCAAATCTCGGCTGGGTGAGCCATTCTGAGTGGAGTTTGCATGTTCTCTCCGTGCATGCGTGAATTTTCTCCAGGTACTCCAGTTTCCTCCCACAGACCAAAAACATGCATGTTAGGCTGATTGGTAACTCTAAATTGTCCCTAGGTGTGTGAGAGAGAGTGAATGGTTGTTTGTCTCCATGTGTCCATGCGATGGACTTGCGACCCGTCCAGGGTGTCCCCCGCCCCTCGCACAGTGATAGACCTCTTCACGACAACCGGAAGTAGCGTCTCATGGTGCTGGGTCACTTCCTGTTATTGGGAGTCTATGGAAGTGCCAGCCTTTTCTTTCGCAGATGTGGAGGAAATCACAGCGGTGAATTCTCAAACCAATAAACTTGAGAAAGGACAAAAGTTCTTCCATGAAGAATATATCCACAGATATCAAGGTAAGAAAAGACATCGCTTAGCGAGTTAACCGTTAGCTACAACATATGAAGTACATAAACATCGTAATGAAGTTTAATTTAGTGTGCTAAGTTATTTGGAATATTTGAGACAGACGTGGTATAACCTTCTAAATGATATTTTAACATTCTGATATGTGTTTGCCATTACAATTTGTGAAAGAAAATGTACTAGATGTTAGTTATAAGATGTTATGATGCTTGATGTTCAAATTATACTTCTGCTTAACTACAGGTCAAATATTGTCGAGGGACAGGTAGTTGTCAGAGCTAGATGATTTATTTATGACAGCTGAAGAACTTTGACATATGATGGACAACTTCTGTACTGAGAGCTTACAGTAACATCTTCCTGCTCAGTGGTTAATGTTTGTGGAAGCAGCAAAGTCTGTTTTGTTCTGCTGCTGTTTCAGCTCATCTTCAAACTAGAATCTATTTCTTGTTTAAAGCTAAATATGTTATAACAAGTATTATATTTATGTGCTAAAAACAGTTGTCTGTTTAGATCTCACTGGGTGACAGCAGGAGAAAAACTACGTCAGCTGGAGTCTCAACCACTTATCGCTCGTCCTAAGTTTGGAGCTTGTACCATCCAGATGTGGTCCTGTGCCACAGGGCTCACAGATGTTTTACCAGTGCCCACCTGAGAAGTCCTGCATAGCATCATTCTGGACCACATGGCTCCACACTTCCCTGCTCTTCCTCGGATGCTGCAGTCTTCCCGTGTTTTGTGTCCACACTTCACATCTTAAGTCTCTGCAAGTGTCACTGGAAACATCTTAGAGGCCAGAACCAGGGAGCAGTCCAAATGTTCTGCGTGGGTTCAGCTTCTACAACCAAGGCTTACTGCTGTTTCCATGTTGCAGAAGAAGTGTAGAGGAGGAGTCTGTTGACATGTTTTACTTCAACACCTTCATCCATGTGTTCATATCAACGCAGTAAAAATCATAAAATGTACAAATCACCCTTTTGTTCCTCCATCCATCCATCCATTTTCTTCCGCTTATCCGGGGTCGGGTCGCGGGGGTAGCAGCCTAAGTAGGGAGGCCCAGACTTCCCTCTCCCCAGCCACTTGGGCCAGCTCTTCCGGGGGAATCCCGAGGCGTTCCCAGGCCAGCCGAGAAACATAGTCCCTCCAGCGTGTCCTGGGTCTTCCTCTGGGCCTCCTTCCGGTGGGACGTGTCCGGAACACCTCACCAGGGAGGCGTCCAGAAGGCATCCTAAACAGATGCCCAAGCCACCTCAACTGGCTCCTCTCGACGTGGAGAAGCAGCGGCTCTACTCTGAGTCCCTCCCGGATGATTGAGCTTCTCACCCTGTCTCTAAGGGAGAGCCCAGACACCCTGCGGAGAAAACTCATTTCGGCCGCTTGTATCCGAGATCTCATTCTTTCGGTCACAACCCAAAGCTCGTGACCATAGATGAGGGTGGGAACGTAGATCGATCGGTAAATTGAGAGCTTCGCCTTTTGACTCAGCTCTCTCTTCACCACGACAGACCTGTACAGCGCCCGCTTCACTGCAGACGCTGCACCTATCCGCCTATCGATCTCACGCTCCATTTTTCCCTCATTCGTGAACAAGACCCCAAGATACTTGAACTCCTCCACTTGGGGTAGGACCTCCTCCCTGACCCGGAGAGGGCACTCTACCCTTTTCCGGCTCAAGACCATGGCCTCAGATTTGGAGGAACTGATCTTCATCCCGGCCGCGTCGCATTCGGCTGAGAACCGCTCCAGCGAAAGCTGTAGATCACGATCTGATGAAGCTAATAAGACCACATCATCTGCAAAAAGCAGAGATGCAATCCTAAGGCCACCAAAACGGATCCCCTCAACACCTTGGCTGTGCCTAGAAATTCTGTCCATAAAAGTTATGAACAGAATCTGTGACAAAGGGCAACCTTGGCGGAGTCCAACTCTCACCGGGAACAAGCCCGACTTACTGCCGGCGATGCGGACCAGGCTCTGGCACCGGTCATACAGGGACCTAACAGCCCGTATCAAAGGGCCCGGTACCCCATACTCCCAGAGTACCCCTCACAGGGCCCCCCGAGGTACGCGGTCGAACGCCTTCTCCAAGTCCACAAAGCACATGTAGACTGGTTGGGCAAACTCCCACGCACCCTCCAGGACCCTGCTGAGAGTGTAGAGCTGGTCCAGTGTTCCACGGCCAGGACGAAAACCGCACTTCTCCTCCTGAATCCGAGGTTCAACTATCCGACGGACCCTCCTCTCCAGAACCCCCGAATAGACCTTACCAAGGAGGCTTAAGAGCGTGATTCCCCTGTAGTTGGAACACACTCTACGGTCCCCCTTTTTGAATAGGGGGACCACCACCCCGGTCTGCCAATCCAGGGGAACTTCCCCCGATGTCCACGGTATATTGCAGAGTTGCGTAAGCCAACACAACCCTACAACATCCAGAGCCTTAAGGAACTCTGGGCGAATCTCATCCACCCCTGGGGACCTGCCACCGAGGAGCTTTTTAACCACCTCGGTGACCTCAGCACCAGAGATTGGAGGGCCCGACCCAGAGTCCCCAGGCTCCGCTTCCTCAGTGGAAGACGTGCCGGTGGGATTGAGGAGGTCTTCAAAGTATTCCGCCCACCGACCCACAACATCCCGAGTTGAGGTCAGCAGCACACCACTCCCTTTATAAACAGTGTTGGTGGCGTACCACTTTCCCCCCCGAGAAGCCGGATGGTGGACCAGAATCGCCTCGAAGCTGTGCGGAAGTCGTTCTCCATGGCCTGTCCGAACTCCTCCCATGCCCGAGTTTTTGCCTCAGCAACCACCCGAGCCGCATGTCGCTTGGACTGCCGGTACCCATCAGCTGCTTCCGGGGTCCCACAGGCCAAAAAGGCCCAATAGGACTCCTTCTTCAGCCTGACAGCATCCCTCACCGACGGTGTCCACCATCGGGTTCGAGGGTTGCCGCCGCGACAGGCACCGACAACCTTGCGGCCGCAGCTCTGGTAAGCCGCCTCGACAATAGAGGCACGAAACATGGTCCACTCAGACTCAATGTCCCCCGCCTCCCTCGGAACATGTTCAAAGTTCTCCCGGAAGTGGGAGTTGAAACTCCGTCTCACAGGAGACTCTGCCAGACGCTCCCAGCAAACCCTCACAATACGTTTGGGTCTGCCAGGTCTGACCGGCATCCTCCCCCACCATCGGAGCCAACTCACCACCAGGTAGTGATCAGTTGACAGCTCCGCCCCTCTCTTCACACGAGTGTCCAAGACATGTGGCCGCAGATCAGATGAGACGATGTGTAGTGAACCTGGTCTGACCCTTATCTGACCCTGATGACCTCAAATCTACCAGATGGACAGAGACTGTTATTTTCATTGATCTGAATAAGTCTGAGCCATCTGATGACTTTCTTTCTTGAATTAATCAAGCAGAAA